GACACGCCATGTACACATAGCCGACACTATGAGAATTTGAGAGAACAATCCTAGTGTCTCTCTTTGCTTAGGTGAATTCTAATAAAAAACCTGCCACCCTTTCGCATTCTTGATTTCTTTCGTACTTTTATGATATTTATTTAAACTGTGATTATCTATACACTTCAGTTTAGGTATCACATATCTTTTAAGATTTGACCTAATTTATTTATTGAATTGTTCACATAAACATACTACCTTCATTATTCTTATCGTCATCTGCTTGAAATCCTTGTACTTTTGTTAACACTAACCTTGTTATCTTTATATTTGCTATGATTACAATCTTCTATAATTGGTTTGTAAGGATTAGATTTATATTTACTAGATGATCACGAATTGATATCAGTTACAGAACCATTGAGAGCCACCACTGGAGTAATGGACAGCTGTTTCATCCTAGTTTGGGAATCATCGGCAGTACGCACTCACCGGGTTTGGAACCTTGGACGTTCCGGTTACAAGGCAAGCTCGTATACCATTCAGCCACTGGGACTCGATTAAGTGGCCAGCACATGAATTCTAACTTCTACCAATTCTCTAACTGATATCAATCCGTGATCAACTCATAAAAATAATTATATTCTTCTTTAATACTGACGTTTAAACGTATTATTACTTCTGATCTACAAACCCACCGTCATTGGTTTGATTTTTATGTAGAAAGCTAAGTACATTATAGTGTAGCCAGAAGATCTAATTGAAGACAATATTCTTCGCGTAAATTGTAACAGAAGAACACAAGGGACTTAGTAACGCAATTTTTCTATGCAGTTTGATACACATATGCGGGGAAAATGATGTATACCAAATATGAAGGTCGTCATTTGCACAGATTTTCCGTATCATGAGATTTTTGTCCTTCGTATTGTGTTTCTTCGTCTTCTTTTCGTGTCTTCCGTGTTTCTCCACTATGCTCGTCAACTTCCTCTCACTTTAACGTCAAATCTATCTCCCCGACATTTCGTATTTTTGTGCCAATGGACGTCTCTTTATATACTGCTGACAGATATTGTCAGCAACATACCCCACAAGATGTCTTTTATTTTCAACAGTGGAAATATTTAAAGATAATCTGGATTTTGTTGGCTTTTCATACTTCGCTAATCTAATTTATCCCAGTCTACCTCATCGACCTATGTATTAGATCTTATAATTATTTCAGGTTGTTGCGAAATTTAAATTGATTTGATTGGCAGAAGGATTTTATCATGAGTTGATATCAGTTAGAGAACAATTGGAAAATCACCAGGAAGTACTCGACAGCTGTTTTGTCATAGTTTAGGACTCTTCAGTAGTACGTACTCACCGACACGGCTGGAACTCAGGAGCTTCTGGTTACTAGGCGAGCTAGCTCGTAGACTATTCACAATCTGGGAGCCAGTCCAATGGCTAGTCCATAAATTCTAACTTCTGCCAATTCACGCACGACATATCACCCACTACCACTTCACAATGTCTTCTTCGATGAGTTGGTGCCTCACCTTCAATCTGCTGCACCCTTCTGGTCACGGCTTCCCACTAGAACTCAAGGTTAACTGCTTGAATAGGGCTAGTCGCTAGTGAACATAAGATTAATTTTCAAGTACTGGTTTTGGATGGTCTGATTGGTTGGAGGATTTCATTATGGTGTCAGCTCTCGATGAAATCCTCCAGCTAATCAAACAAAATTTCCTACAAAACCAATATTTGAAAATTAAATTATTTTGTTCAGTTGACTGCACAATAACCTAACCCTAATCGACCAAACTGGTTTCATTGTAGAGTGAAACAGACAGTGATATAGAATATTATTAGTAAATAATAGTATATGTTATCATGTGTTTTTATCAAATAACTTTGGAATTATACTCTACCACGACGCCTGAGTTCATTTCAGATGTATGTTTAATTTGTTTTCGGGTTTGTGGATTTGAATGCCACAAAAAATGGGAAGGAATAATGTGGACTATAAAAATCAACTTCCAATTTAGTGCAGACTTAAAAGTGATATGATTATGAATATAATAATAAATTTTACTCAAATCCCCACCTAGTAAATACAACTTCTTCGCTGTGTGATATATCTAATAAACAAATTATTATGGAATAACACTTCACCGTAGAGCCCAAGTTTTACGCGTATATTAAATTGAAGAACCCGACTTCGTAAAATAAAAGAATACTTTCACTGCTAAAACTCTTTGGTTACGAGGGTCTCTGTGACAGTTCGGAAGTAGAAGGAGTGTATATCTACCAACAAAAACATCATGTAGCTCCCATGACCCAGCAGTGAACTGGGAATGTTACGGATTTTGATTTGAATACTGAAATTATCCGAGTTTTTTTCTTACTTTCAATCGATTCCTGATTTATTCACAATAAAATGTATCATTTTCATAATTTGTTATGAACAACTCAGTTAGTAGAAAGTAATTTTGAAAGCAGGTAAGGAATACCACTGAAGTAAGAAACCTTCACTGGATAAACCGGAAAGTTTTAAGTAAAATTGTAGGTTACTTTTTTCAAAAAGGCTTTAAAAACTAGGAATAACTATATAGGCGTTGAACCTTAGTTAAGTCTTAATATCGAAGACAGATGAACCAGTTCTACAGAAAAGTATCTCCCCTCCTCCCTACCGACAGTATGTAATAACCCTGTGAAACAATGAGATAGGAACACAGAATGTTTTGTTAAATAGAATTTTGCAAATTAATTGAAATTTAGTTTATGAAAGTTGTAAAGAAAGACCTCCGTACATTATATGTTTATCTGAATGAGGCAAGAACAACAGGTTTTGCAGAATAAAAGTGAGACATCATTTATTTCGTTGGCCTCTTATCAGCTGCTTACAGCCCAAAGTTAAGTATATCTACAGAAATAATTTTAACATACTTGCCCAGAGTTCATAAAAAAAATCAATAAATCAGTATATGCACACAATGCTTATAATAATAATCACTATATCCCAAACAACAATGACCATGCCCTACGGAAACTTTCTGCATTACTTCATCAGATGAAAGAGAGGATGAAAACAACCAGTGTCCAGGGTGGCAAGGAAAAGCTGATGACCGCTTCTTTCTGAACTCATAAACCGAGTTTTAGGCGCTTGATGAAGATTGCTTTGGTAAACTTAAGGAGAATTGAACTCTTTTGCCTATGGATAGTTTTGAACGATCTTGTGACCTCCACATCAGAGGAGATTATTGACTAGCTTTCCTGAGCATATCACTGAAAGTCTTCGTACCAAATGTAGCAAAGTGTTTTCAAGTGCAATTATCAAACATCTGATTGACATGGAACGTACAATTTAGACTAGTCCACCTTTCAAAATAATCAATGTGCAGGAAAATACTTTAACCTTTTCGTCTTGCAGAAGCAATTAACTATCACAAGGTTTCAACGCAACGCCTGTATACAGAAAGAAACACCTTTGATTACCCTAGCAACTTTTATTGTTTTGCTCTTGCGTCTTTGTATTTTTGGTTCTGTTGTGTAACATTCCGATGAATTTACTTCTCACTCTCATCCTCTCGAAATTTCTATCAAATTATGCGTAGATTCATTCTGTTATTCGATTTTACAGTCCATCTTTAGTCAACCCTTGCTTCTGTGTGAAATTTGAACTGCCTTCTAACTGTACTTGTCTAAATATACTACGTGTAGTTAGGCCGCTTTTAATACATAATGATTTGTCTTCTTACGTCCTGCTGGAATGATGCTAACCGATACTTTCTATCCATAACTCAAAGTCACTGTATGTAAGTAAGTTCACACTTTTTGTGGCTTATGTTTTGATATAGTGTACAAAATTCAGGAAATAAAACTGGCTCATATTATCCTCTCCGAGAGTGCTCATTATTTTTACCTTTTCAAATTATTAAGAGAACTGGTTGCTTGTAAATTCTTTCGAAACCCTTGGGGTGCATACTGATGAGGAATTTCACACTAGGACGAGACGTATTTCCAGTACTCCTTTTTATTATATTATTATCATCCCCTTGCGTTCTGAGTGGAACATAGGGTTTTCTACCCTCCTCTTCATCTGGGTCCAAGATTGACCAAACTCTCTCATCTCTTCCTCACACGATCTCCTCCATGTCACCTTAGGACGATTCACTCGTCTCTTTCCAAAGGGATTCCACTTGAGCGATGCCTTGGACTCAGCATAATGCCATTCGACGGCCGCCTCAATATACGCCCGATCCATCTCCATTTTATTCTACATATTTGTTGAGCAATCGGCTCTCACCTGTTGGTTTGTTCCACTACAGAGTTTCTAATTGCTAATTGTTTCCGGCTGGCCATTTGATCTTAGTAGGGAGCGGAAGGCAGCTGTTGGTGAAAGTCAGCAACCTGCTGGAAATATTTTTCATGAAACGCAGTGCAAGTTTCTGACCCGTTGGTTGATTAGGGCGTATCTTGCTTTCCTTTCCAATTCTGACTTTGACATCTTCGTCTGTTCAGCCCGCTTGTGGTTGAGACGATGCTTTCTGGTCAGATAGGTGAAGGAGGTAATCCCTGTCAAATCTCTCCCATTGATGGTGATCGGTGCTGGTTTTTGTTGCTGTTGCTGTTGATTGGTTATCTTCATCACCTCCGTATTCTCCATTTTCAATTGGAGTCCTGTTTTCGCTGCCCCTTCAGCCAATACTCACTGATCATCCAATAGTCCCCTAACAGATTTCAGCTCGGGATCAATCTTGTAACCAACCAAATTCTTATCAAACAATACTTAATAATTTTTTTCATTACCTGAATAACTTTCTTAAGCAATATTCAAATATTCAGGATTTTGTCGTCATTTATATTCACCTAAGTTAACTTATATTAGTATCATCACTTAATTTTAATTTCATTTCTGTTTATAAATATAACGTGCTCAATTTTTATCGTTTCTACACATTTTTCCTCTCTCCTTCTCTTTCTATCTCTCTAGTAATAAAGTTATATTGAAACCAACCATCAGATGTCCTCTGATGATTAATCCAGAAAAAGATGCAGAAAGAATTAATAAGTCAATCAAATTAATAGGTATGTTGAACCCATTGAATGTGTTTAAATCAAACGCCTGATATTTAATATGTTAGATTAAAACAAGTGCAAACAAAGCAGGTATTTAGTTTATTTAGCACATCGAGTACGCACTCATCACCCTACAAAGGATATAACCTATGACGTTCGCGTCATGAGACCGACCAAATGACTATCCAAACTCTGAGTCTAAATCCATCAATACCATTACAGCTTGAGGTGATTGTTCGTCAGCAGTTTTGGTTAACAGTAGAACTTTATTATGAATTCACGGTAGTAGAAATTTACGGGTCACTGAAATGAAACAGAAGTGGCCAAATGTTCAACAAGCCAATCTAGTGACCTGAAAGTCTTAAGTTGCATCTGTTGATATTAGCTGAGGAGTTCAAACGTTATCAGTGAATCACCAGTAGGCAGCAATGAATCGCTTTCTTTGATATTAAAGAAAATAAATGATCCAAATTTCGGTTGCTTCTTCATGTTACACATAGTCTCATTTCGAGTTTTTTAAGAAATTTTGATTAGCCGGAGTGCTCATTTTCTCACTAAACAACATTAGTTTTTGGGAACTACTGAAAAGGAAGGAAAACTGGGAAGATGTCCTGTTATGTTTAGTGTTATACGACACGTCAGGGATGAAGAGGGAATGGTAAGTCTTGGACGTTTCATCAAGAAATGACAGTAGTCATAATTCATGGCTCTTTATATCCCAACATCCTGGTTAGATAGTTAACGGGTTCTTTAATCTGAACGTAAAGGTTTCTTCCTCGTTGGGTATTGCTGTGAACCAGTAAACTGCACTCAAATACGGCAAAACAGATAACGAATTCTCTTTAGGTTTCAATGGTCCTCCAACTATGGTCAATTTATGACTTGTGCACTACAATAGTAGGTAATTCAATTAGTCTCGTAACTTGCGATGAAGCTGGCATCTATTACATAGGAAAAAGGCGGAAGACCGGGCTGAATTAAATAAGCGAAATAATCGAGCACAGAATTGTTATTAACTACTAATTTAAAATATTCTGTGTATAAAAACATATATATGATTGTAGAGCCTGGAAGAGGAATTTATCGAAAAGAATATTCTTCGCTCGATTATTTTGTTTTTATAGATGTCTGAATGAACATTTTTGCAATATTTAAATAAGCGAAGCAAAAAACCCATGGAATTCCAAAATGGTACAATCTAATGAAATAAGGAATTTAGGGAAAAACGCTAAGCTTTGGCATTGCATGCAGTTACACAGAAACATACAAAAGGATGGGATAAGATTATAGTCTTGAAATCTGATATAACAAGGTGAAGGCAGAGAGTAGTAACTGAAGCCTTGTTTATCTAATCAAGCGAAAATATATGCAATTGAAATGATTCAACACCCGGTTTTAGATATGTAGAAAGTTCTACTACCTTGAAGGAAAATAGGAAAAGGAACGCGAATTGTAAAAATCAGGTGACGAAGGCGTGCGGCTACAAATGATCTGAACAAAAAATTCTACCAAGGACGTCACCAAATGAATACAATAATGTTTCACAGGGAACAAAATTAACATGGTATTTAATTTATTTATGTTACCAAAAGATTTTTTTATTTATGGTAAATAGACGTCTAAACATTTGGCTTTCTGAGGGCTAGGAATCAACCCAGTAACCTAGGAAATCCGCTATAAACTTCACTACATGACTTTAACAATTTTCTCCTGTGAATCCACCAATGACGTAAACAACACTAATGTGGAATCATTAATTCCTTCAGTGCATCAACATAGAAAAATTTGATAGGAGTGTATAAAACACCGACACAAGGCATAGTTCAAGGCGACAGAAGTGATGATTTCTCCTCTGATGTTCATTATCGTAATCAGAAATGAAATATAGTACTTTTTCCACATTATGTGATAACATTGATACCCTGAAAAGATGACCAGATGAATTTTACTTAAATATTATGTGCTAATTATAAGTAGTGTAAAATATATTTTCAAAATTTTACGGGTATTTCGGATATCACATATAGGTTTTAGTAAAAGACAATCTAATGTCCACCAGTTTGAAGCATTTTAGGCTTTTGAGTGTAACTAGTGATGACGTTGTAGTTTTAAAGATGGGTTTGCTAGTCTGACTGCCAGACTTTATTCTCTTCCCAGATTACTACTGGCAAGGCTAGGTTTAAAAGTGAGTCGGCCAGCCGTAGAACCCACATCTCCCACAAGTTTAACGAACATTCTACTCGTGTACCACAGACACACAACTAAATATATAATGAGGTAAATAACCGGGAAAATTAACCAACAACGTTTTCGAAGCAGTTGTTTCCAAGAATTCGTTTGTAGGGACTCTATTTTTTCAGGTTAGAGAAAAACTGAAAACCAGAACTAGAGTACTGGACAGCTGGTATTTGCTACTTTGGGAATCATCGGAAGTACGCACCCATTGGGTTTCGAGCCCACGGTCACAAAGCAAGCTGGTATACCATTCATTCATCGGGAATCGATTTAATGGCTCAGTGCGTGAGTGCTGCCAATGAGTTCCAAACTTGAATGAAATATCTGTTACCTGGGTTTCAGTGCTTCTCTAACTGATATCGATCCGTGGTCTAACCTGTGTTCGAATAAAACTTCAGCATTCAATATATATGCACTCACTGATCCCTATCCGTTGATCAAGAAAATGATTTAACAAGTAAGTCGGTGTACATAATTGATGTATAAAAGTGGTCGGAATCTAATAACGACAAATAATATTGCTTCCCAGATAAAGTGAAGCGTTCGAAACACATGTTGGAAGTTTCAGTCATTTGAAGTAGAGCTTGTCAGTTATTTACTCGGTTGAACTGAGCTCGAATTTTCAAATCAGTTGACACTACAAGAATTCTAGTAAGTCACTTAGGTGAAGGAGTCTCACACAGAATAGAATTCATCACATGTAAATATATCCTGGTCACAATATGTAATCCGTTTGATACGATAAATGATAATTAGGAAGGTAAGAGAAAGTAGGCACCACGGTAAGTATTCACTACTGTTTCACAAGAGTAGCTGGCAATCACTCCCACTAACCAGTAGAGCTTCCTAGATGGATTGAATTTATCTGACTTCAGTTTCGGTCGTTTGAGGAGGAACTTATCAGCCATGTATTACATTCTCCTCTTTTCAGAGAGCGACACAGTTTAAATCGCGTGGATTCCTTCTAGAATTTGTTGTTTCTTAGTACGGAAAACATAAACTCCATGCCAGCTTTTGAGTGAACTTCATTACTTGTATATTTTAAGGAATATATGTTGCTGCATTGCACGAGAAAGCAATGATTTTCCTTCCTTACTCTGTGTCTAAACACATACATTCATGACAGCTTGATCATAAATATTAACACATAGGCAATAACATGGGGTCAGTAGAATTCCATGATGGAACAATTTATCTCATATACCGCTGAATAGTTTTCCAGTATAGATTATTGTCACTAAACAGAGGCTTGGCCAATGTTCTTGTTGTTGATGCTGACTTCTGAAAAATCCTAAATTAGGAAGAAATGGCTGTAAATTTTGTACTGATCCCTGTAATTTAATTTGTTTCTTAACGAAATCTATGTATTTTGGGATGACAAAGTGGTTAAGGCGGTGGACTTAAGAGTCTCTGGAGTGTATCTCAGTTTAGGTTAGAACCTTAATAACAATATCACTTTGTACATCAGTTATTGGACGGTAAAGTTCTTGCTAGTCACATAAATGGTCCGAATTCAATTCTTGGCCGACTCATACCTTAATCTCGCCTCGTTTACTGGCTAGTAGTAAGCCTGGGAAAGAGAGAAGGTTGGAAGTATGGCTGGTAACTTTACCCCTACTTGATCTTATGATCTTGAAGCCCCATTTTCCCCTTGAGAACTCAAAGAAATGAACAAACCTACCCAGTATCTAAAACAAGATGATTGTGAGTGAACAATTGTTTTCAATAAATATTTCTTCAGGCTCTACAGTTATAAATCCATGAATATTAAAAAAGTACAAACAGCCAATAAAGTCATGTGAAAATTATATCTGAAACTGAATTAGTTGGGCAAATATATAATATGGTAGGATAGTTCGTTATTTAATATAGTCAAATGAACGTAGATTAAAAATGTTCAGTTATTCAGAACATAAGATAAACTGTGAATAGAAAAAAGGGTGAGATACTACTGCATATAAAGTTAACAGAATATAAGTTACATTGAGGGGTAAGGGTGAGTTGTGGGAGGAAATTGATTACTTTCAATAGTTGGTTTGTAAGGAACAGATTTATTATTTTGAGTTTGACCACGGATTGATATCAGTTAGAGAATCATTGAAAACCAGGGATTACTGGACAGCCAGTTGTTTCATCCGTCATAGTTTGGAAATTATCACCAGTACGCAACCACCTCCAAGGTTCGAACCCAGAACCTTCCGGTTACAAGGCAGCTAGCTCGTAGACCATTAAGGCACTGGGACCCATTTCATTGGCCAGTCCATGAATTCTAACATCTGCGAATTGGGGATTTAGCGCGACCACCAACCAATGTCATCGGTAGGAAATCCACCCTCAAACTTGATTGGTTGGACCTCACTGGTCACGACTTCTCACTAAAACTCCAGGAATGTCCGTCCGGTAGCAATTCACAGTCGAGCATCAGATTAATTTTCAAGAGTTGGTTTGTAAGGATTAGATTTGTTTTTACGAGTTTGACCAAGGATTGATACCAGCTAGAGAACTACTGGAAAATCAGGGAGTACTGGACAGCCAGCTGTTTCATCCTGGTTTGTTACTAATTGACAGCACGTAGCCACTGAACCACTGAATCGAGTCCCGGTGAGTGAGAGGTATATGAGATTGCCTTGTAACCGGAACCTCGTGGGTTCGAAACCCAATAGGTGCGTACTGCCAGTTTGTCGTAAACTAGGATAAAGCAGCTGTTCAGTAACTCCAGTCCTGGTTTTCAATGGTTCTCTTACTGATATCAATCCGTGGTCAACCTCGTGAAG